CTTGGCCGTCCAAAAGGAGGCCAGCGGTGGCGGGATTGGCTGGGTGGCCGGCGGTGGACTTTTGGGGGCCGGTGGGGGGATTTGGTAGGAAGAGAGTTTGGTTAGGTAGAGAAGAAATAAATTGGGTTTAGGAAAAGAAAATTAGGAGCTACACACCTCGAACACACCTCCAATAGAACTCACAAGAGAGTCTACAAGCGCCACTTCCTCAAGAACTCACAAAGAGATCTTGAGAATCTCGGAACTCAACAAGAGATCCTTCTTCTCTCATGAACTCACTAAGAGATCAAACAAGTAGAATAAAATTTCATTATCAATTCATCATCCCATTACCAAGAAAAGAGGAGCCTCTATATATAGCCTAAGAAACTAAAACAAGACACATATGCCCCTAAGGCTTACATAGGACGACCTCTCAACTGAGGGTAAAAACGAAAAAATTTATAATAAAAATTTAAAAATTATAAATAAATATAAGATAACGTGGTATGATGACAGTCGTTGATCTTCAGCTCCTCGGATAACCATGGACGAAGAAGTTACATGCTAGAAGTGCCGGACCTTTTAGGATAATTTCAAAGGTAATTAGTAATGCTTATGTGCTGGACCTCCTAAAGGTTTTAACTCAATCCTACATTTAATATAGAAGATCTAGTAGCCTTTGAGGGACCAGAGCTGAACCCTAATAATCACTTCAAAATGAGCCTATTGAGAACCACCAGTGAGATCCCCAGCCTCCCCCACTTCCAGATTTACCCTATTTACCTATTGCGGAAAAGGTTGAAGCTGTACTTGACGATGAAATCATTTCCATGAAGGAAGGCGGGCGCCACAGGTATTTGGGTTCGTTGGAAAGGGAAACCGGTGACTGAGGATACATGGATTTGATCGAGAGGAGTTATAGAGGGTTGGATCCAGATCTTTAGAGATGTACGAGAGCCCATAGATTTTCACTCGCGATGGGGATCGAGCTTTCTCCCACCTGGGGAGAATGATGAGGACATCGTCACCACCGGCCTCCCTCTTGGGAATTTCAAATTTGAAATTCAAATTTGTTTCCAAGAGGCATTGAAGACTTTCCTAAAATAGTTCCTTGATTTAAGGCTTTCATATTAATTGGATGTCAATTTGAATTTGAAATTCAAATTAATTCTAATTGATAGCCCCATTATTGGAAACTTTCCTTTATTTCAAAATCTGAATTTTAATTCAGATTTTATTAAATCTTTGATTAGTAATGTGGGCCCCACTCTACTTATGACAAATAATCTCCTCCTTCTCTCTATGTGTCCGGCCCCCTCATTGGGCATAATCTCTCTCTTATCTCATTAATAGCCCCCCTCATTAAGCCTCCCTAATTACCTCCCACAATTCCCTCTCATCTAATTTAATTCTCCCATTAAATTTGAATTTAAATTCAAATTCATCCCGCCAATTCCACATAATCTGAAATTTAATTTCAGATTTTCATTCTCTCTCTCCAAATTGATTTGGGATTTAATTAATCTTGCCACCTAGGCAAGTAAATGTCATTTACGTTTTACATCACAATGTCTTGAAATTTTTGATGCAGCAACAAAAACCAAACAAACCAAGCTGCTGGGGCAGGCATGGAATTGAATTTCTGACCAACAAATACAAATTAAGTCTAGCAAGATCCTCAACCAGATCGGGCCTTTAAAGAATAATTTAAAAACTCAAAGAGATTAAGTGGTCTGATCAGCAATTAGCCTATTTAGGTTTGTATTGGTCCATTTTTTCCATTGGACAATGAATATTGGTTCTAATATGCTATAGTCATGATGAACATGACAGTGGGGTTAACAATCAGAGGGCACTAAGTGACAAAGCATCCTTCATCACAGGATGGCAAGAGTAGACATGCATTTATACCAATCTAACCTATATTTCCCCGCTAAAGAAAATAGCCACCAACCATTAGGCCGATTGATGTATTACAAATATTTCTATAACTAGATTAATTATAAAATATCATGAATATCTTTTGTAAGTACATCATGAAACATCTCGAACCACTAGGCCACGATTTTAAGACTAGTTTTAATGATATTTATAATAAATTGAATCTTAAAAACTTGTTTTCGGCGACAATGACATATAGTTGTAAATTGTAAACCAAGCAATGCTAAGATAATCGATGGACAATAATATTTTATGATTATGAGATTAGGGCATCATGAAAAAAATTTATGATAGAAAAATAGTTTAGTTTTTAGTAAATCTGTTTCCTCTTTCCTAATTTCTTCTCCTTCCAGTTGACCATATTTACACATGCTATACTCATTTTTCCTCTACTTTGCCATCTCATGGCTATTTCTAGAAGCGTGATGAGAATAGAACAAGAAACATCTTAATTTCTTGTCCACTTGGTTTTGAACTTTCTACATGTTAGATTTGAAAAACCTCACATTCATTTCTTAAACATGAACCTCTTTTATATTGTACTAGAATAATCTTAGATTCAATTTCCTTACCAGATATGAGCCTCTATCGAATTATACTCCATATTGGTAGGTCTACTAGTCGACTAATTGTTCAAGTCGGATGGGAGACTTAATTCACATTAATAATGGTCTTTAATGCAGCGTTAAAATCCAAATAGGTTAAGTGATCTCATTATCAATTAGCCTATTTAGGTTTGTATTGGCCTGTTTTTGCAATTGGATAATGAAATGGCAAGCGCGCACATGACCTTTATACAAACTTACACATATTGCCAAGCTAAAGAAAAAAACCAACAAACACTAGCCCACTTCATGTCACTAGAACAAAGGGTGCATATTTAATATATATAAATAACATTTCAAACAATATTAATAAGTCAACTTTGCATAATATTTCCTCTAGGCAATATATATCATACATATAAATGATTCATGGTTATTATGGAAGGATTTTTTAAACAAACAAGAACATGTGCATGTGTGTGTCTAAATATGCATATACCACATATACATTCCAACGAGAATATGCATGTTCCTTAGTAAGTATTTGTTATGCCGGCCCCTCCGGGGCCGGCTGGACTGGTCCAACCCGGACCGGTCCACTGTTACTCCAGGCGGAGAAAACATGGGCGGGCGGAAACGTGAGGTCCACGTGGGCTCTTGGGGGGAGGTTTAGGAGGGAAATTTTGAATGTGAGGGCTGTTTTAGGAAGTTTATTATTGTCCTTTATGATTAATTTTGTATAGTTACAAGATTCGAATTATGCTTATGTTTAGACCACCGTCTACTTAGATAACATAATGGTTAAATGATGAGCAATTAAAGACTTTCTCTCATTATCGGTTCAAAGTTTGGCCAGGTTTTAAAACAGTGATTCGAAGGGACTTTGATGATGAATTCATCAATTGAATTGTTGAAATTTTGGATAAATCTTCGAATTTCTTTTCTTTTAGCTGCTTCCGAAGGTCTAAAACAGGTCAACCTTAAGCAAGAAGTCCAATGCATGAATTAGGTTTTTAAAGAAACAAAGTAAAAAAACAAATCAAGCTTTTGCTTACTTTAGACTTTGCAAACAATCAACGCATTGATTCACGTCAATGGTGTCAAACAAGGCTTGCCATGACCATTTCCATGCCCTCACTTGCCAATGGTAATATTACTTCAAGTGATAAACTAGAAAATATATTTAGCACTTCAATGATAGTTATCGAACTACTATTAGACATCCAATCTGACCATGAGAAGTTATGTTATCAAACCAAATATCCAGGGTTTCAGATTGTAAAAGAAAGACAGATAAACCCTTTCAAAGGTGGATCAAATTATAAGAATGATTTTATAGCCATAACAATAGAATTCACCCTTTAAAAGGTAGAAAACACAAGCAATGGGACTTGTTTTTTTCACCCACCTCAAAGTCCGTAGGATGGGATTTATTTATTATGGCATAAGGTTTGAACCCAAGACCTTGACAACTTCAAATGCATCTTACAAATCAGAATAACTTGCACCCTCACACAAAACAAGGGATTTGTTTATCCCCAAGGAGCATATAGAAATAGGAGAATCCTAAGCACACAGAATTGTTTATTAAATTTTTTAGTGAAAGGTACCTCGCCTCCTAGAAGAACGCAATCTGACTGCTTGCATCCATCAACAATCCCTTCAATGACCTACAAGACAAACAAATTCCTCGATCCAGTTCCATAGTTTCTAAGAAGTTGAGGATATTAATGGCATATAACAATTAAAATCTTCTCTGTTACCGTTTCAGCAAGATCAACATCAAGGTGACTTGTACCAAAATAATCAAGGAAGAATAATGGTTTAGCTCCTGAAGTAACTATGTCATTTACAGACATGGCCACCTGCAACAAACCATTAAAACTTTTAGTATTTCTAAAAGAAAACCAAAATCATACAATTTATCCAACATGCCTTACCAAATCAATCCCAATAGTGTCATGTATTCCAGTCTCAAATGCAAGTTTGAGCTTTGTTCCAACGCCATCAGTAGAAGCAACAAGGTAGGAATCCCCTGCAAAAGGAAATATGGACTTTTACCTTTTAGGAATATATAAGTCGGAGACCAAAAAGATCTAATTAATTACTCATATTTCTTTTAATTTAAAATGGGAAATTTTACATCTGCAATCAAAAGTTTTGTTAGGATACCAACCAAAACTAGTCCAATTACTTCTCCAATGGGATGCCTTCCAAATCATCTTCAGCTTAAAACAAGAACACCAACCCTATTTAACCAATAGGCTAACCAAGACTGGGCAATCAAACCACGAACTTAATTTTCCCTTCCCATCCAAAGAAGGAAGGGGAAAAAACAGACAAAATAGTATCTTAAATCTTGCCAATCGGAGAGAAGGGGACGGAGTCAAAACAGAACCAATATTCAAAGAATCATAGCTGATATCAACCATGGTGGCGTGTTTCAAAGGAAGGGACTTTGGGATGGCATAACAATAATAACTATACTGGGTGTTTAATGGGTTGTTGTGCTACTTTTGGTTATATACCAGGATAACATAATAACACAAGGGCCATTCAAATTTCCCCAATAAATATCTTCAAGTATAAAACTTCATACTCCCTAAATAACTATTTCAACAGAATCTTGGGGCAAATCAATAATAATTTTTTTTTTTTTTGCCAAAGCAAAATTTGAAATTTAGATCCAAGCGGCTCTTCCAACAGTGAGCAACTAGCCAAATCCATTGGTGGATCAAAAGGGGTGCCAAGAAGGGTTAAACAAACCAAGATTAGCTTTAGCCAACTTAAGAGTTAAGGCATGACAATCATACAAATCCATATGGATATAAACAAAGACTACAAAGGAGGAAGACAAACTTTATTAGACCTAGCCTACATGGATGTAGCTAGACCAAGTTGTACAAAAATTGTCATTCATTGCATGAAAATTATATGGGAGCATGATAAATTACATAGACAAATGAGCCAAATAACTTATTTTCTCTCTCCTCTCTTCCATGTAGCCATAATTTCTACAAAAATAATATTTTATTATACAAAAATAATATTTTATTATATTACTAAAATGTACATGAGAAAGCTAAATTATGTGGGAAATAGTAGCTAATGATATTAAGAATATTGCAAAAGAAGTGCTTGGAGTATCAAAAAGAAAATATCCTAAAAATAAAAAAAATTGGTAGTGGAATTAAAATGTGCAAGTAAAAATAAAAAATAAGAAGCTTTCTATAAAAATTGGTTTACATGTAAAAACTTGAAAAATTGGGAAAGATATAAAAATGTCTGTAAGGAGTCTAAGAAAGTAATATGTGATAGAAAGTATTTAGTTTTTAATGATTTATATAATAGATTAAATACTAAGGAGGGTAAAAGATGTATGTGCAAGTTATCCAAGCAAAAGGATAGGAGAAAGATTTAGTTTAAGTGAAGTGCATTAAGGATGAAGATCAACAAGTGCTTTTATTTGAAAAGAATATTCAACAAAGATGTATGAGGTATTTTGATAAGCTTTTCATTGACTTTAGTGACACTTAACAACCTAAATTAAAATAGAGATTTTTAATTTTATCGGCATATTAGTAAAACTGAAATTAGAGAGACTTTAAGGAAAATGAAGTATGGAAAAGCTGTTGGACCTGATAATATTCCAATAGAAGTGTGAAAATGCTTATAAGATAAAAGAATTTCTTGCCTTACAAAATTTTTCAATATTATTTTGAAGTCTAAAAAGATGTCAGATGAGTGGAGTGTGTTTATTCTTATTTTTAAGAATAAAGGTGATGCAAGAGTGTTCAAATTATAGAGGATTAATTTAATGCGGCATACTTTAAAACTTTGGGAGAGTTATTGAGCATAGGTTACGACGTGATACTAATATTTCTCAAAATCAAATTGGATTCATGATAGGTAGGTCTACTATGAAAGCTATACATTTATTGACAGGTTTAATGGAGAAGTATTGGGAGAATAAGGAAGATCTACATATAATATTTATTGATTTAGAGAAAGCTTATGATAAAGTTCTAAAAGAAGTGCTATGGAGAGTATTAGAAAAGAAAGCGATTAAAAATGCTTATACTCAAGTCATTAAGGATATGTATGCAGTTGTTATTACTTGTGTTCAAACACAAGGAGGTCAGACTAAGTATTTTCCTATTCAGTTGGATTACATTAAGGATTAGATGTAAGCCACAATCTTTTTTATTTAGTCATGGATGTTTGATAAGTGTAAATTGTGTATTATTTTTGTTATGTTAAATACGATGAAAATATATTATTTTAGTTATGTTTATATAGAAATTGTGCAAGAAAAAACTAAATTTATAAGTTTTGGGTAGTGTCGCAGCACCAATAAGGTTCATGTCGCGACGCCGTATTGATCAACACTGAATTGCTAATCTCAATGCGTCAGCACTGACCTTATCTATTTGCAAGTAGATTTGACTTATGCTAAAAAAAGGTCGAGGAAAACCTAAAAAGACTTGTTTAGGAAATATTAGAAATAAACTTTCTTTATTAGTTTTAAATGAGAATTTAAATCTTAATAGGATACAATGAAGAGAAAAGATTCATGTAGCCGACCCCACATAGTGGGATAAAGACTTGATGTTGTTGTTGTTGTTAAGAATGCTTATTCTATAAATAGTGCACAGAGTCATGTAATTCAAAAGGATGATAATGAAATTAAATATGGCATTTTTTGGCATCTTCTTTGAGGATCGATTCTTCATTTCTACTAACCATAGGATTTCTTCATGCTTACTTCATCTCTACTATCTATCCCCTTCATTAAGACATTCCTTATTACTACCTTATTTTTTAAATTATTTTATGGAAATTCAAGTGACAATTCAATTTTTCTACAAATACTCTATCTATCCCTCCAAGGTCCAACCCCTAATGGCTATCATTTACATCCATTTCAAAACAAATATCCGTGAAGTCTCTAACACTAGGCAAATCCCCATCACCATCTAGATGAAGCATAACGATGAGAAGACCAGCAAAATGCAATTAAAACTTAATGATGCCAGTGACCATAGGAAAGCACCACTTAATATAGTTGCATGTTGAAACTACTAAATCATCAAAAAACTGACAACACAAGCCATCGTTAAATTAAAGTTATAACATTGAAAAATAAGTACTTTTAATGTTTCAATCATTCTAATTCCATTTAAAGTTGACATAAATAAAGCTTTTGGCATGTTAGACATTCCATTCGAACCAAATACGTTAAATTGTCCGATATATTTGAGTTAAAAATGGCTCAGTTCAATATTTAGATGGCCATCAGGGAGAGCCAAGAAATTCATTGATTTTGTAAGCTCTAAGTAAAAATACACGAGCAATTTAGGGAACAATAAGAGGAACCCCTTATATACAAATGCATACTGGGAAAACATTGAACCTCAGGAAGCCTTTTACTCAAACAATCCAAATTCTAAAAACGAACCTGCATAGTCATATTGAATACAGAAAGAGTATAAGAAAACAACTTCTGCATGGGAGTTAAAACATTTAGTCCACCAAGTTTTGATTCCGCATTCATAAATTAAATCCTCCGGACAAGCACAATAAATTAAAGCCATGAATCAAGATTGAACGAATAAATTCATAAATCACAAGGATGAACCTTACCTTCTTCTATTACTTCAACCTAACAATCCTCGTAGTCGGCAATTTTTTTCCTCTTTTCTTGTCCGGTAATTCTCATGTACATGATTTAAAATTGTGCAATTGAGTATTTAGGCGTTTTTCTCTCGTGAGGTGAGGCACAAACCTTAAGGCGTTTTGAGACGTAAGCCTCAAAATCCAAAAATTGCGCAAAGTCAAAATGATAAATTTTTATATACTAATGACTAATCTAATAATATAAAACATAAAAGAGCACAAGATATGAAGTGTCAAGTAATAAATTGTTTGAAATTAAAGTGAAATCCAAACATCATAATAATAAGACAACATAAATATAGTTCAACTCAAATTCTATCTTTCCCAAATCCCAATATCTTGTTCATTAGCATGTAATTCAAAAAATAAATAGCAATGAAATAACAACTCAGAAGTCATCAACACTGTCACCGCTAAGGGGTCTTCATTTGAATCATCGTTATGATGAACTGCTATCTCCCCTTCCTTATCTCCTATGAAGTCCAATGTCTCCCAATCAGCTCCTTCCTTTATATGAGTTATCTTCATGTTCCCTAAATATTTTTGAACAATATCAAGATGAGTAATAACTTGAATTATGGAGGTCATGGATGTTCTCACTAGACATTTGCAAGATGATGTACCTTGGTGTATGCTTTTTGCTGATGATATTCTCCTTGTTGATAAGACTAGTGAGGGAGTTGAAGGTAAACTTGACCACTACGTGGAGTATAAGAAAACTATGTTATTTATATAACTTTTTTCTATTTGTTCTTGAGTCGTGGTGGATGCAGATGCTCTATGACTATTAAATAAATCAATATTTAAATTTTCCTCACGTAATTCAGACGGTAATATCTCCACTTCATCATATACAAACCACTTATCATCAGATGTCATATCCTCACAAATCAAAGGATCTTAGTCATCCTTTAACCCTTTTTTTTCTTCAAGTTCATGTCTTTAAGTCTCCTATTGTGCATAATGTTTACTAGTGAATTCATCCTCAATGTTCACAAATGATTTCTCCTTTTTGTATTTACTTGGTTATAGGTGCCCCAATTTCATTCACATCTAGGAGAAGAACATGTTAATCCCAAAACATTCACAGCAAAACCCTATAATTCTGGAGTGTCATCAACAAATTGAATACATCACTCAACTAAGATTTATATAAATGAGTATAGTCAGTACTCAGAGAACAACTTTAAATAAATGAGTATAATAATAAATGAAATTACCTGGATATTGTTTGAAAATAGTGTCATTTGTATGCTATAATTCAAAAAAGCCTTGTTTATTCCTAAAAGGTACTAATTGCATATCAGCATTTGATATTTTAGTTGCATCACCTATCAGTCAATCCATGCAATGATATAATCCCAATTTTATCTCAAGATTTGTAGATTTATTCTCTGCATATTAATACTGAGGGTTCAAGCAATAGTCTGCTACTTACAAGTGTCGGTGAAGTTGTAGCTCTCACGTATCATCAATAATATTCTAATTTTTTCTATAGCTTCGCTCTTCGCCCCCTAAGCTGTAGGCAATCATTTCTCTAGCTTCATTTATAGCATTATAGATGAAATCATGAAACCCATAGCAGATTTTTTCTCTGCATCCATCATCCTTAAAACTTATACTAATGATCTAGTGGTTATGATGGCGTACAAGAGACTTTGCCAAAATTTGTCATTTAAAACAATATTTTTGACCTCTTTCATTTCAAGTTTATTTGCACATGCATAACTCAACCATTGTATGGAGGTAAACATATACTCCAGAGGTTATCTAGCATCTAACATACTCTATAATAACAAGTAAACAGTGGAAAATCTTCAGAATTTCTTTTTTTTGAAAATTTTCTCATAAGAGTAAAAACTTAAAAATAGTTGTAAATGGACTTAGTTATCTTCTTTGCTTTAGTAAGCACATTCTTGTATTGAGGCAACTCCCCAAGCTTCTTAAAAATGAGATCTATGCAATGTGCAGCACATGAAGTCTGATACAAATATTTCCTCTTCTCCATAAGTTTTTTTTTCTTGCAGGCTTGTAAGCACTGACATTATCTGTTACTAATTGTATTACTAAATATTCTACAACCTCCTCAACATCACTGTCTAATAATCCAAAGATGAACACAACATCCTTGACCTGATCAGATGCTTCAATTAACCTCAAAAATACAATATCGTAAAGATTATTAATTAGCATATTTATTAAACTTTTATTCTTCATATCTAACCAATCATTTGACATAATAGTTACACATATTTGGGCTCAAGACCTCTTAATTTTTTTGATATTACTTTCTGTATTATCCAACTCCTTCAAAATCCATGTTCTCAAATCATATGAACCCTCTCCAATATGCTCCAATTGACCGAATTATGTTATAATAACCAGGCGATGTTGCAACATTAAATGAGATTGCATTTTCATAGAAGAATCTGTCTATATTCTTACATAAACTTTTTTGTGCCACCCTAGCATTCTCTGGGGCCATCCTCTGTGTAGTAGGAGGCCTATTCTCTGATGTTTGCACCATGTAATAATCCATGGGACCCCTTGCACTCCTAGAAGATATGAGATTCATTGAAGAAGATGAATCTCGACCGCTACGCTCACTACCGTAGTAGGAGCCAACATTAACTCTATCCTCAAACTATTTCTGTACAAGATGTTTTGACATAATAGACTTATTAATGTATGTTTTTATCTTCTCCCTAACTGTATCAGGCACTTTAGCGCATGGTGCAACATTCTTGTGGGACCTAGAAAGGTGCTTCATCCTAGTCACACCACTCTTCACTATTTTGTCACAGTAATTATATTTCAAATATACGTATGATTTGTCATTGCCTTCTACATCCACTTAAGTGCTATATTTTCATGATGAATCCTTCCTATGACCTGATACGGCTTTATCTCTACTTCTGACCATCATTTACCAAAACCTACAATTAAATATTAAACCTTCACATTTATCGTAAATTAAATTTAGAGCAAATGGAGTTAATGATGGATCCTTCCTAAGAAATACAAAGCTGACACTTGAACCACCTATAGATGCAAACTATAGAGGTTCACTCACTGAAAACAAAATGTTTTAGCAAGGTCTAGTATAGAAGCAACATTTAAAGAATTATACAAGGCGTATGTGAGTTGGTGTAATTAAAAAATACCCTTAAAGTGGGAAAACCTTATGGAACTCTATTGTGATAATAATCAAGCAATAAATAGTGCACACAATCTAGTGCAACATGCTGAAATGAAACAAGTTGAATATATTAAGTGAAGAAACAAATAAAAATAAAAAATGTCACTGAAAAAAATCATTCTAATCAATGGATAAACATGCATAACAAGCAACAATCTACAAAGTAAATTATGCCAAAAAGCACCCTATAAGACTTGGCTAATAGTTATGTGCAACACTTGAAGATCACTTGATAATTACTTGAATTTTAAGCATCATATATATAGACAACAATCTAGCTTAACAATTAAATAAAATTATTAAACCGATAAACTAGGCTTGAATCAACTCAAAATTCTAATTGTAATCAATCACTTCAGCTTACACTCGAATTCACGAAAATCATGTAAGCACAACAATTATTTTAAGTGAAGAAACAATGAAGGTTTTAGGCCGAACTCAAGTCGAAGTCGCAGTCAAACGCACACGCAAAAGAAGAGGAAGGCAACCGAACCCCAACAAGAGGTCATGAAGGTAGGCAAAGTCAAAGTCGAACACACATGCAAGCGAAGTCGGAGCTAACGGACGAAGTTGAACCAGCGTGCGAAGAAAATAAGAAAGATTAGGTTTAGGATTTTTTTAGAATACCTTTTAAGAGGCGAACGCATCGTCGAAATGAGGTGAGGGCGCGCCTCAGTTTAATTGAGGCGTATGCCTCATAATTCAGGTTCAAGGCGTGCGCCTTGACGCAAAAATGGCTCGATATGCACTGAAGTGTGCCTCCTGTTGCGCAATTTTAAACCATGCTCGCGTATCTATATTTTATTTTTAAAAGATAGAAATCCAACTCAAACATTTTATATAAAGCAGGCATAAGATAGTTACGAATTTTATGAAGAGTCATTCAAGAGGACAAATGGAATGCATGAATGATTTCTTTCAAGAAAGGAAAAATAGCATGAGAAGTAAGGATAGAACTCTTGTCCTCATAATTAGGAGCTAAGGTATGAACCACTAGGCCAAGACCATATTTATCTATGTGTAGTCTCGCATATATATTTGCATTCTATAGACAAAATTAATTTTAAGAACATATAAATTCAAAAACTACCATAAGTTATCAAAATTCAAAGGAAAAAAAGGCCAACCTACAAACTTCATCAATCAACAGCATAAAAACCCAATTTTTTATGCATAGCCATAAAAAAGTTCTAATGCAAACAATAGCTAAACATATAAAACAACATACAGAAACAAGTGAGAAATGTTGAAATTACATAGAATTACCCAAAGGAAATAGGCCACCGAATCCGCCAATTCCCGGTGTCATCTTAGCGATCCTCCGAACTAGCTCAGTCCCGGCATCAATGTCAACCCCTGCATCCTTATATGTAAGACCCTTCCTTCCATTGTTGCTGGTCGAGCAAGAGATTCTGCCGCCGTTCATCTTAAGAATACTGCGTGGGAGCCGAATCTCGCTCGCGGGTTTTGCATAGAACACTGGAAGCTTCGAGCATGATGGTCTTCGAGACGCCACCACACTTCCGTGGAGGCGCTCAGCTCTCGCCACCGCTGCTCCCGAGCTGGCGTTCATTGAGGAAGAAGAGGGTGAGAGGTTTTTAAGTTCAAGAAAGGGAAAGCGAATGTTTTGGGGCTTGTGAAAGAGGAGATAGAACTGCCGGATTATCTTTCAAAGGTTGTAGACGGCAGCTATTTCGCGGCGCTCCGGAAAGAGGAGGTAGAACTGCCGTCGATTATCTTTCGATGGTTGTTGACGGCTGATATTTCGCCGTGTTAAACTTAGAGTAAGTAGGCTGCAAAAAAACCTAGAGTTTGGCAAGCTACTCGCGGCGACTCGATAAAAGCTCGCTCAAACGAGTTTAAGCATTTTTTATAAATACTCAATAGCTTGAACAACTTATTCGTTTATGTTCATGAATATTATGTTTAATGTTTGTGAACAAGCTCATTAAGAAGCTTGATTAGAGGTCTATTAAGAAGCTCTATTATAATTATATTATAATTTTTAAAAATAGATATTTTTAAATTTAATAATTTAATAATTTATTTGTACTAATCCTATCTAGAATTATTTAATAATTTATTTTTACTTCCCGCATCCCCTTAAATAACGAACAATCTGCTTTATGAACAAATATAAGATGAATCATATACTCGCGGCGACTCGATAAAAGCTCCTCAAACGAGTTTAAACATTTTTTATAAGGTAAATTTACATACATATCACTTTGTAACATTCTATTTGCATATCTAATATCTAAAATTTTAATATTACATGCATACCACCCTATGTTATTTAAATATCAAATATATCACTTATATTTCTTTCCCACCACTCACATATTTCATTTCTATCACTCATATTTGATATAAAAATGAACTATGAGTGGTATGTATGTAATATTAAAGTTTCAAGTGTTAAATATGTAAATAGAGTAGTATAAAGTGGTATGTATATAAATCTCCCTTTTTATAAATACTCAATATTTAAATCGAGCTTGAACAACTTATTCATTTATGTTCATCAACACTTGTGAACAAGCTCATTAAGAAGTTTGATTAGAGGTCTATTAAGAAGCTCTATTAGAACTATATTATAGATTTAAAAAATAGATATTTTTAAATTTAATAATTTATTTTTACTAATCTTGTCTAAAATTATTTAATAATTTATTTTTACTCCCCGCACCCCCTTAAATCACAAACAACCCGCTCTATGAACAAATATAAGATGAGTAATAGATTATTTGTTAGTGAACGAACTCATTTTATAGCTCGAAAACACTAATTAGATATGTTCATAAACGATTTCGTTTGATAGTTCAAGAATATTCATTAGTTAAGTTCGTGAATAAGCTTGTTTGATAGTTTAAAAAACTTTATTATATATGTTCACGAACATGCTATATATAATTATTTCTTAGAAGGCTTGATAAGGTTTGTTTGTTAAGTTTATGTAAATCTAGAAGTGGAGTTTATTTGTAGCTCCGTAAGGCTCGTTTGTTTAAAATTAGATAAGCATAAAATGAATCGAACATGAACCAAACATTAACACCCATCAATTTTAACGAACCAAACTTGAGCACAATAAAAAAAGCTCAAATTGAACTTGAACAAGATGATAATAAATGAACTCAAATATGAACACACGCATACTTAACTCGGCTCAATTCATTTGCAGCCCTAGAAGCAAGTTGTAAAAAACTGATTGGAGATAGAAGAAGGGAAAAAAAGATGGGTTCAAGGCTAAATGATTGGATTAGGTTTAATCGGATCAAATTGGAAAACGTGATAAAGCTTATGGTTATACCTTATATCTTAGTAAATTATGGGAACTTAACGATATGGTTTTTGAGACTAGTTTGATTGAGTTGAGCTAAGTTGGAATTGAATATAGTTTGTTTAATCAACGAGCTGGCCTTCTCATTCACATAAAGCTTGATTAGTGTTTAGTGAATGTCCATTGTCTTGATAAGTTCCCGCATTCTTATTATAGGGCGAACAACTCCAGTTACTCTGATCATTCTCCCATTATTTTACTAAACCCCGTAGATGAGAATTCTAGGCACAGATTCATGTTTAAAGCTTATTGGATGCAATTCCATCCATTTTGGTCGATTCTTATCAATGTTTTGAATGTTAAAATATGGGGCAATCCAATTTCAATTTTGTATCAATATCTGCTGGCACTTAAAGATGATGTCAAGCTTGAGAAGTAGTCTCCTTCTTCCTTCTTAGAGAGTTCTTTGAATAATTTGAAAAACCAGCAATTAGAATTATTATCTCTGCTTGATAAGGATCCCTTAAATCAATCTCTTAATGCCACTTTAGTTGAGTGTAATGATAAGTTGGTCTTTTGTGCTGCTTCATGGTCCTCTTGGATAAGGCAGACCATGGAAAAATCCAATTAGTTATCCCAGGGTGAGGATAATTTGAAGTTTCTTTATGCAAAAATCAAGATATTGGGTAATTACAATAAGATTAAAGAGATATCTACTAAAGACCGTTCTTTTTCTTCTTCCCCTGAAATTTCTAATACTCTTATTAAATATTTCTCCTCTCTTTTATAACTCTGTTCATCACTACAATTCTGATATCACATCCATTGATCTAGGTCCTACTTTGAATCCCAACAAGGCTAACTTGTTGATATACCCTATTATTGATGAGGACACTAAAGAAATTGCTTTTTTCCTCACCAGCCTCTTCTACCCCTGGACCAAACATGCACTCTTTTAAATTTTATAGAAAAACTTGGATCCTTATTAGGGGACAAGTGTGCAAGGCTATCAAATACTTCTCCCGAAATGCTTATCTACCTAAAATAGTTAAGGCTACTGCCATTACCTTAATTCCAAAACTCAATCATGCCATTAATGTTATGGATTACAGACCAATGGGTGGCGCGGTCAAAAGGCATTTTGTGCTAAATTGGATTTCTAAACAGCATTTGATTCAATATCTAGGGAGTTCATATTAGGGAGACTTTAACTTAAGGGTATACCTTTGCAATTTATTTCTTGGATTAGATCTTGTATTTCAAATGTGGATTTCTCTATTTTGCTTAGTGGTAGGATGAATGGTTATTTCTCCTCTTCCTCCAGCCTGAGACAGGAATGCCCCTTATCTCCAAGTCTTTTTTTACTTTGGCATAAATGATCTTTCTTCTTTACTATAGTCTGCTTCCTCGCCAAATATTTTTGTGGCATCACTATTAAGAGCCTTAATTTTACTCATCTGCTTTATGCTAATGATCTATTGATGTTTACAAAAGAAACTTTATATAATGTATTTGCACTTAATTGCATTATATATGCCTTCACCTCCTACTATGGCCTCTAAATTAACTACTCCAAAAGTTCTATTATCCACTCTATTTATACTCCTCAAGTGATTAACATTTGTAATTTGTTACATATTCCTTTACCTGGTGAGTTCTTCATCTATTTGGCTCTTCCTATCTCTCCTAAAAGGCTCCATATCTCCCATTTCAATTTATAAACTAACAAAATTGCATTTTTACTCTCGGGGTGGAAGGCATGTTTGCTCTATTTTATAGGTAGGTTGCAATTTTAAAGTTTACTATTTTGAATTATATATCTTATTGGATTATAGGATCTATAATTCTAAAAACTTGTATTAGGCTTATTGAAAAAAGGTCGGCAAAATTTCTTTTACATGGTGATTCTACCTGTAAGAAAATGCATTTTGATTCTAAACGGCATTTGATTCAATATATAGGGAGTTCATATTAGGGAGACTTTAACTTAAGGGTATACCTTTGCAATTTATTTCTTGGATTAGATCTTGTATTTCAAATGTGGATTTCTCTATTTTGCTTAGTGGTAGGATGAATGGTTATTTCTCCTCTTCCTCCAGCCTGAGACAGGAATGCCCCTTATCTCCAAGTCTTTTTTTACTTTGGCATAAATGATCTTTCTTCTTTACTATAGTCTGCTTCCTCGCCAAATATTTTTGTGGCATCACTATTAAGAGCCTTAATTTTACTCATCTGCTTTATGCTAATGATCTATTGATGTTTACAAAAGAAACTTTATATAATGTATTTGCACTTAATTGCATTATATATGCCTTCACCTCCTACTATGGCCTCTAAATTAACTACTCCAAAAGTTCTATTATCCACTCTATTTATACTCCTCAAGTGATTAACATTTGTAATTTGTTACATATTCCTTTACCTGGTGAGTTCTTCATCTATTTGGCTCTTCCTATCTCTCCTAAAAGGCTCCATATCTCCCATTTCAATTTATGAACTAACAAAATTGCCTTTTTACTCTCGGGGTGGAAGGCATGTTTGCTCTATTTTGCATGTAGGTTGCAATTTTAAAGATTACTATTTTGAATTATATATCTTATTGGATTATAGGATCTATAATTCTAAAAACTTGTATTAGGCTTATTGAAAAAAGGTCGGCAAAATTTCTTTTACATGGTGATTCTACCTGTAAGAAAATGCATTTTGATTCTAAACGGCATTTGATTCAATATATAGGGAGTTCATATTAGGGAGACTTTAACTTAAGGGTATACCTTTGCAATTTATTTCTTGGATTAGATCTTGTATTTCAAATGTGGATTTCTCTATTTTGCTTAATGGTAGGATGAATGGTTATTTCTCCTCTTCCTCCAGCCTGAGACAGGAATGCCCCTTATCTCCAAGTCTTTTTTACTTTGGCATAAATGATCTTTCTTCTTTACTATAGTCTGCTTCCTCGCCAAATATTTTTGTGGCATCACTATTAAGAGCCTTAATTTTACTCATCTGCTTTATGCTAATGATCTATTGATGTTTACAAAAGAAACTTTATATAATGTATTTGCACTTAATTGCATTATATATGCCTTCACCTCCTACTATGGCCTCTAAATTAACTACTCCAAAAGTTCTATTATCCACTCTATTTATACTCCTCAAGTGATTAACATTTGTAATTTGTTACATATTCCTTTACCTGGTGAGTTCTTCATCTATTTGGCTCTTCCTATCTCTCCTAAAAGGCTCCATATCTCCCATTTCAATTTATAAACTAACAAAATTGCATTTTTACTCTCGGGGTGGAAGGCATGTTTGCTCTATTTTATAGGTAGGTTGCAATTTTAAAGTTTACTATTTTGAATTATATATCTTATTGGATTATAGGATCTATAATTCTAAAAACTTGTATTAGGCTTATTGAAAAAAGGTCGGCAAAATTTCTTTTACATGGTGATTCTACCTGTAAGAAAATGCATTTTGATTCTAAACGGCATTTGATTCAATATATAGGGAGTTCATATTAGGGAGACTTTAACTTAAGGGTATACCTTTGCAATTTA